AACCATTTTACTGAAATTTGTTTGAAAATATGATAAACTGGTCATTTAGAGAAGGTACATCATCTCGTCCTCTCCAAGTCAGGCTGCCGCAGTACCGATAAAGCGGCCAGACACTTTCGTGGTTCCACCGCAAAATGACATGAAGATGATCACACCAGGTTTGTGCATTTTCAACATGTTCGTAAGAAGGATCAAGCATTCGCTGTTGAGCAGTCTTTTTTGGAACACACACTTCATTTCACATTAACACCCGAATGTTTTCTATACGCATAAGGTCTATACAGGGGGGGGGGGGCAGTATCATTTCTCCTCGTATATCGCGTCTATCTGCCAGTAACCCTCTGTACGCTATTGTAATGATTCCTTCAATTTCTTTCCCGAATGTCGTCGAGCTAGGTTACATATCAGAGGCACAACATGCAAAAATTACTTTCGTCCTTGAAAGCGAGGGATTACGATAAGATTGGGAGGGTTCATAGTGGAAGTGGAGATGCTGAATAATGCCCCAGTGGCGAAAAAAGCAAAGAAATCCGTCAAGAAGGCGCAAAATGGGACCCCTTTCTTTGCCCGTTGACCTCCGATAATGGACGAGCTAGCAACCAATTAGGAGGTCGTTTGCACATGTTATGCTGATAGCCTCTATCATTTCAGCAAGCATCATGCTTTGATTGATCACGCATTCCATGAAAAGTTACAGTACATATACGCACTCGAAGTGAACTCATCCGAATGATGAGAACAGTGATACTACTAACAATACACTGGCAGGCGGCGGAGCGGAGCTCAGGGGGATTGGCAGCTCCAGGGCGCTGAACTAGCGCGCCTTTGGCACGAAAAGGCCACATCTCGCTTCCTTAGGCCCCTGACTACTGCTTCCACTGGTGCATGTACTTCCATGCTTGCACACGCACTTTATCGTAATCTCTCGCTTTAAAGGAGCTTTAACGATGAAAAGACAGCTCATTAGAAATAAGGGTAGAGGTGGTCAGTGGTGCAGGGATGAAGAAAAACCATGAGAAACGGCCCAGAACCCGAGAATGGGACCCCTTCCTTGCCCGTTGATTTCCGCATTGATGCGACTCTCATCGGTGCTGCCCTCTTCAACGCTAACGCTCTCTCTGCTAACGGCTAGAGACCTGCGGCGAGTGGTTAGCCAGTCGGTGGGCGTACCGCGCCGATAGCGCCGCGGGGAGGGCTATGCTAGATCGCCGGGGCATATCCTTCGCTGCAAATTGCGCGTCGATCTGCCCCTTTAGAGGGTCCGCCTATCTCTCTTTCCACCAAGTAAGTTTTTCTTTCTTTGATCTTCGACCTTACCGTGGAATCCTCTTCCAAGTTTTCCACATCATTGTATGAAGATGTGTCGGTACGAAATAGCTAGAAATAAAATCCGGTAATTCTTTTACTATGGGCAATCACTGACCTGGACAATGCTCGTGCAGATGTCTCAAATGCTGGTAATGAAAACGACAACAGGTCTTGGCTTGTACAAAAAAATTTGAAAGGCGTTGTAATATTTCATGAGATTTGGGCAACTTCTTGTAATTCCGAACTGAGGCTTTAGGGGAATGGTTTTCCGATTTCACCCGAGTAAGTCAGAAAATAACCGCCATATGCGCTCTGTTTCTCGAGCTTTCCAGAATTAGTTAGACCGAAATGCATTCCAAAATTGACATTCGGCTTATGGTAATTACTAAACAATCAGTTTAAGCGAATCTAAAACAACGGACAAAGGGTAAATAAAGCATTGGCCGTTGATCAACCACTTGTCGGGATGCGCCCTACGTTACACTCCCATACGGAATTCGAGTGGCATTTGATTGCGGTATGGCCTGCACTATGAATTAGGAGGCCATAGTGTCTGAAATGAGCAGCGGAAGTTAAAGGTACTTGAGCAGCCAGAGCCGGATTAACGCCAGTATGTCAAAAACCCCTAACGGTCATTGAAATGGTGCTGCGATGCCACGGCAATACGAATTCCATTAAACTTACTGGCTGTAACTACGCTACACTGTGGAAGTGAGTAAATATATGAGCGAATCGTTTCAGGTCACACCGCTTACAGAATGCCAACGGTTGATATCAAAGAAGACGTCGGGCGTCCACGCTTTTCGGTGAACGTGGACTGTTGTCAGGAATTTTTCAAATGCTCGATCAACAAAAGAAAATTGCTCAATCGCCACTAAATGACGCTCCGGATTCGTCGGGGAAAATCAACAGTGAGAACATGAGGATATTCGAATAGAACAATAATTCTAATATTTTCCTTGTGTTGATTTTCCTTTTAGTCTAATTTTAGGTAACTCATTCGACTTTTAAAAGAATAGTCGACGCACTTTTTAAAGGTGCAGATGGCGACACGTTCGGCGACCCTGGACCTGAACTTCCTGAGGTGTTTGATTTTCCATAATTAACTGCGCATTTTTTAAAAATGCCATATATGGACTAAAAGGGCAAAAACTGATTAAATTCGAACCAATAAATTTTTTACAGTAGCAATGGCGCGAGCAAAAAGCATTGCGTTTTCAGGTTTTTGAGTTTGTTTTTGAGTTTGTTTTTGAGTTTGTATTCATAGTTTATCTTCAATTCTTGGATTTCGGTATTGGAGCACATTCGAAGGCTCTTGTGTCAGGCACATTCTGAGATAGCAAAAAATAGAGTACCAATTGAGTTCGTTAAAAACAGGGGTGCTATTCGAAAGCCAGTATGAGTAAGGCTCTTCTTTTCCTGGGCGGTCCTGGAGACAGGCAGTCGAATCAAACACATGCACTGGGTGCCGTAACGAGATAATTCAGGTGGAGACGAGAGAGCATAGCGGGAGCGAGGTGTAGACAGTACCCGGTAGGCGTCTGATCCATAGACCTTGCCTGATCAAAGTCTTAAGCCCTGGACGCCCTTCTGACACGTTTCGAATCGCGAAAGTGCTCCTTTCGCTCTGGTTACGAATCCAGAAACCCTATTTGCGGTTGAGATTGGTCAGCGATCGGAATGCGCCTTACACTCGTTCAATAAATTATTTCAGTTCCTTGGACTGTGCAATCGACTTAGTTGTGGTGACATCTACAAAGCGATCGATAAATTCAGGAGATCCGAATTTTTCAGTAATTTTCAGGTGATTTACACTTATCAACTCCCGATAATCTAACAAGCAGCAATTTGACAAGTAAAGAAATTTTGTGAGCTGTACTTTACTTGACTGCTGATTGTTTACCGAATGAGTTCCCATGACTAACTTCACCCCAGCTTTCGACGCGCAATTTATCACAACGCTGCTCACTTACGGGCAGAACATTTAACCATAGCTAGGGCTCGAAGCCATACCTCGTGCTTCCTGGTTGAACATATATTACGGTTTTTGATTTGAGGTCACTAAGACCGGGTTTGACTAGTTCCCGGAGCAGGACTTTGCCATAACTTACCACCATTGCGATGTATTTTGATGTTTTTTTATTTATTGATCCTTTTCCCAATTCAACCACTTCTGGGATCCTTCCACAAGAGCAAGTAACGTAGCTATTGCTAGACGAACATCATGGTAACATGATTTTGCCGCTGTGGGCAATAGCTCAAAAGTTTGTGTTCCTTAGTCGCCTTAGGATGCGCACACATACGTCTCCAACTGAGAAACAAAGTGAGGCAGGCCCACATACTTTTAGGCCATTTTAGGCCCACATACTTTTAGGCCTACACTTTGATGCATCACGCACATTTGCTCCACGAGTGCAAGTTAACATCTGCGTTTCAATACGAGTCTGCATGGCCGAAAACGGGAAATACATATACGT